GGTGTGGCTAGTGTCTTTTCCTTGTCTTTGTGTATGCGGCATCTAAGCCAAAATAGCGGCATTTGTCGTGCCTGGCTCCAGACAGCGGTAATTTGAGCGCTGCATAGTGTCTTCCTTGTCTTGTGCATAGTGCATCTGCCAGCCGCGTGCACAGCGCATCTATCGTGACGCGCGCACAGCGGCCCTTGGGGCACGCCACGCATGGGCCGCCGCACAGCGCATCTGGGGCGACGTGCGCAGCGCGGCCTGGGGTGCTGTGTGCATAAAGGCATTTGTCTCACGCTGTGCAAAGCTCCATTTTGGGCATCACGGGCTGCGTGCATCTTGGGGCAACCAGGCATAGTCTTGCATTTGGGGTCCTGCATAGTGCATCTGAGGTGACGTGTGACAGTGTGAACTTGGCATTTTTGCATGAGCATTTGAGGCCACAGGCACAGCCCCATGTATTTAGGGATCCAGCATGAGTGCATTTGAGGCAGTGTGCGGGTAGTGTGTATCTAGGGTGGTGTGTGTGCATAGTGTGGCATTTGGGGTCTCTTTGAAAGACAGTGATTTGGGGCGCCTGTGTGAGCATTTAGGACTTGGTGTTGTAGACATCTAGATTTGGGTTTGACTTTTAGACAGGCATGACAGTGGCATTTGGGCAGGTGTGTGTGTGACTAGGTGTGTGAGCCTCCTGGGTCTCAGCACAGGCTCTGGTGCTGTGTGTATAGTCTTAATTTGGGGTGCTGTGTGCATAGTGTGTGCATGTGGAGGCACGTGCTCCACAGCAAGTGTGACTTGGGGTAGTGTGTGGCATAGTCTAGGATTTGGGGTATCTTTTTTTTTGCATGCAGAGCATTTGATGGCTGTGCACAGCCTGCATTGAGGGACCTGTGCACAGTGCATTTGAGGTGAGTGCATAGTGCACTTAGTGTGAGTAATTTAGTGCTGTGTGCATAGTCTTAGATTTGGGGTGCTGTGTGTATAGTTTAGATTTGGGTGTTGTGTGTGACACAAATGCATGTGGAGGTGATGTGTTTGAAGGTGGCCGGAGGGAGGGGAGAGGGAGGCACTAGGTGTTGTAAAAAATAACTGCATCTGAGATGTCCATATTAGCCTAGGAATTTGGGCATGTCAGACATCCAGACTGAGGCTATGTGCATCTGAGGAGGCATGCACTGAGACGCCCAGCACACTCATCTAGGACCATTAGCACCTGAGGTCCCAGCATAGCATGCATCTGAGGTCCATTAGGCCTAGGATTTGGGCACCAGTCCCAGTATTGATCTGATGTGCAGGCCTTGAGGACATTGTGACTTGACAACCAGCATTGAGGCCAAGGCCATCTGAGGACTTGAGGACCAGGACCTGAGGACCTGGAGACAGGACACAGCAGCACAACTGAAAGTGGAAAGAAGAAATAACTGCACACACTTGTGGAACACACAGGAGACAGGAAGGGACAAGGAAAAATAATGACATTTTAGGAAAGGAATGGATAATGGAGTGAATAAGGACGAGAAGGAAGAATAGAAAGGGGAAAGGAGAATAGAGGTAGGGAAGGAAAAGAAATAGATAATATGGAAGGAGAAGGAGGAATGGATAATATGGAGGAAGAGGACCCACAGGAATGGACACTGCACAGGCACACAATGGCACACGGAGGAATGACACAATGCATAGAATGGACACAGAAGAGGACCCCAGGAGACCAGAAAGACACAGGCACACAAGGAAAGGAAATATGGACAGAGGACCAAAGGAAAGAGGTCAGGAGGGGAGGAAGGACATTAAAAAGAATATGGACAATGGAGGAAGGAAATGGAGAATAGAAAGAAAGGATAATGTAATGGAGGTATTGAAAAATATGGACACAAAATGGCACACCTTTAAAAAGAAAATATGGATAGTGTGTATTGAGGTATTAAGTATATTACGGCGTCGTAATATGATAATGTGTGCATTGAGGCATTGGGTACATTAACGTTTTGTGGTTTCTGTGTTAAGATAATGTGCATTGAGTATTATGATATGATAGGTGTGTATGAGGTACCGGTATATTAAGGGTATTATTAACCTTGTGTGTGGGTTTTATTGTGTATTATGATAACCTTGTGTGTGTTTTCTGTATTGATAATGTGTGTATTGAGGTATTGGGTACATTAACCTTTTGTGTATTATGATAATATGTGTATTGGGTTTTAAGGTGTTTTCTGTATTATGTGTATTATGATAATAAATGTGTGTATTGAGGTATATAGGTGGCGTAGGCATTAACCTTTTGTGTGGAGTTTTCTGTATGGGTTTTGTGATATGATAATGTGTGTATTGAGGTATTGGGTACATTAACCTTTTACATGTGTTTTCTGTATTATGGTAATGTGTGTATTGAGGTATAGGGTACAATAAGGTGTTTTGTGTGATAATGTGTGTATATATAGCGTCATAAGACTGTATTATGCGTGTATTGAGGTATTGGGTACGTGTGTATATAGCCATCTGTGCGTTACACCTGCTCCCTGTTGTGTCATTAGTTGACGGCTCCTATCTACAGGAGTCGTGTATTTCCGCTTGTTCACAGCGTCACATTTCCCACAGTTGTTCGTTGCCCACGCTGAAAACGAACCGTTCAGTCAAGGGTCTTTGAGCCATCTACCTTCATGCATGGCGTCACTGACGACCCATGTGACCACAACCACGAAGTTGTGGTCCCAACAGACGCCATTCCTGACACAGGTGTCGGTCTGTATGGGCTTGACCGGCTTTAGTGGTGATACAAACAAACATAAATTTGGTCTCTTCTTTGCGTCGCAGGGCGTATAATGTACATACCACCAGCAATTTCTTACTCTGTTTCAAGACACATAACTACAACTTCTAATCGTACTACTCAGACATGTCGTAGGCATGGACGCCTTAGACAATATAGAACTTGCACATCACATCACCAGCACGTGTCAGTCACTGGATATAAACATTGGTGCATTGTCTAACAATACTTCCCAACGCCGGTTTCATACGTACAATTTCACAGAAATGAAATTTCATAGGTTCATAGGTTCGACAATATCATTATAAGTGAAAAGTGTAATACACAGGTAGAAGGTCACCATGATAGGTGCGCTTGTGCTGGATGCCTTTGTCTTTTGGACAATAAAATAACTTTAAAACAAACAGTGCTCATGCCATTGTTTATGGAAAACGAACAAATTTTAAAAGTACAGGTAAGTGTATGGAACTACCTGTATCACAAGCAAGTGTAAGGGACTACCTGTATCACTGGCAAGTTTTATGGGACTACCTGTATCACAGGCAAGTGTATGGGACTACCTATACCACAGGCAAGGGTATGGGACTACCTATATCACAGGCAAGGGTATGGGACTACCTATATCACAGGCAAGTGTATGGGATTACCTATATCACAGGTAAGTGTATCGGACTGCGTATATCACAGGCAAGTGTATCGGACTACCTATATCACAGGCAAGTGTATGGGACTACCTGTATCACAGGCAAGTGTATCGGACTACCTTTATCACAGGCAAGGGTATGGGACTACCTATATCACAGGCAAGTGTATGGGACTGCGTATATCACAGGCAAGTGTATGGGACTACCTGTATCACAGGCAAGTGTATGGGACTACCTGTATCACAGGCAAGGTTTTTGGGACTACCTATACCACAGGCAAGTGTATCGGACTACCTATATCACAGGCAAGGGTATCGGACTACCTTTATCACAGGCAAGGGTATGAGACTACCTATATCACAGACAAGGGTATGGGACTACCTATATCACAGGCAAGTGTATGGGATTACCTATATCACAGGTAAGTGTATCGGACTGCGTATATCACAGGCAAGTGTATCGGACTACCTATATCACAGGCAAGGGTATGGGACTACCTATATCACAGGCAAGGGTATGGGACTACCTATATCACAGGCAAGTGTATCGGACTGCGTATATCAAAGGCAAGTGTATGGGACTACCTATATCACAGGCAAGTGTATGGGACTACCTGTATCACAGGCAAGTTTTTTGGGACTACCTATACCACAGGCAAGTGTATCGGACTACCTATATCACAGGCAAGGGTATCGGACTACCTTTATCACAGGCAAGGGTATGAGACTACCTATATCACAGACAAGGGTATGGGACTACCTATATCACAGGCAAGTGTATCGGACTACCTATATCACAGGCAGGTGTATATATCACAGGCAAGTGTATGGGACTACCTATCACAGGGATTACCCATATCACAGGCAAGTGTATGGGATTACCCATATCACAGGCAAGTGTATGGGACTACCTATATCACAGGCAAGCAGGTATGGGATGGCTACTTATATCACAGGCAAGGGGACTATGGACTACCTATATCACAGGCAAGTGTATGGGACTACCTATACCACAGGCAAGTGTATGGGACTACCTATACCACAGCAAGTGTATGGGACTACGTATATCACAGGCAAGTATATGGGACTACCTATACCACAGGCAAGTGTATAGAACTACGTATACCACAGGCATGTGTATATGACTACGTATAACACAGGCAAGTGTATATGACTACGTATATCACAGGCAAGTGTATAGAACTGACTATATCACATGCAAGTGTATGGGACTACCTATTTCCGTACACAGTCAGCGAGGTGTATGACACTTTCATATTACACATGGCGTGTTGATAGGTACAACCGGGAAGTAAATAGAGTCAGATATCGTAGTCGTTGACCTGCCATTGACGACTGCTGCTACGCATCGCTACATTCATCAAATAATAAACAAGTCATATGATCAAAGTGTTAAGCACGTTCGGGACACAATTGGTTGCTAGGAATAGTAACTGTAACTTAAACTGTAACTGCGATATCGTAAGTCAGGCGAGTGGGTCGGCGAGGTCTGTTAACAATAAGTATCGAGGACGCCTGGCCGCCTTGCCTCACACCATACCCACCCTTACCTTGGAGGTAAGAAGATAATGTCAGCGTACGTACCTCCACTCTCCATTCTAAGCGTTTAGTCCGGACAGCTGTGGCGTAATGACATACTAAAGCCAGGCCTGCAGTTGTACACAATTCCTTCCGACATGAGAAGGATTCACGTGAATCATATCCTGAGCACCGAGCTCACATTCCGAAGCTCACAGTTAACCCTTAACACTTACCCTCCACCTAACACAGACTGCGGAAAGAATGTTGGGTTAACCCTACCGCTGTCAATTACACGTCGTACCGGACTCGATGTTTATTGCTAAACTCATCATCTATACGTAAAAAACAGGATTTGGCCCAGTGTTTTGAACCTAGGCTTGACCTGAAGGTAAGTACTAGGAATGCAGGGTAGTTCAGTGATCATTAGGTAACAGCTACAAACGCAAGGCAAGCCCTAGGAACGGAAGGTAAGAACTAGGAACCTAAAGTAGGTACAAGAAAGGAATGTCAAGTTAGAACTGGAAGCAGAAGGTTAATACCATGAAGGTAAAGTACTTTCTAATGACGGGTTAATACTAAGAAGATTATGCACTCCTTCGGAAGTAAGGTCAACACTATAAAGGCGCTGTACCTTCTAGGGCGTAAAGGCTAATACTATGAAGGTACTGTTCTCTAAAAGGAAGTAAGATCAATATCGTGAAGGCGCGGTACCTTCTAGGAACATAAAGAGTAATACCATGAAGGTAATGTACGTTCCAATGATGTACGGTTACTGCTAAGACGGCTATGCACTCTTCAAGACGTAAGGGTAATACCATGAAGGTGCTGTTCCTATAAGGAAGTAAGGTCAATATCGTGAAGGCGCGGTACCTTCTAATGCTGGGGGTTGGGGTTGTGTGTGTGTGTATGGAGGTGTGTGTGTGTGTGTGTGTGTGTGTGTGTGTGTGTGTGTGTGTGTGTGTGTGTGTGTGTGTGTGTGTGTGTGTGTGTGTGTGTGTGTGTGTGTGTGTGTGCTTTAATGAAGATAAGGTGAGTAGCTTCGAAAGGTAAAAACACAGGGATACAAATATGCCCTAAAGGAGAAAATAAACTTAAAGAGAACGATAGCAATGGAGAAGGAATTAGCTCCCCAAAGATGGGTAGGTTGTTATAATGTTTGGAAGATAACACCGTCTCTAGCATTTCACTCTTTTCGGACAGAAGAAGCCGGTTTCTTATAGAAATCGAATTTGTTTATGTCGGGTGGAATCCAGTTTCCTTCCGAGAAATGTCTGTTTGTTTGTTTGATGTCGCACTCAGCAATATTCCTCAATCGCCCCAAACGACACCCATGGGTTGCTGAAGATCAATTCAAATCCTGGTCTTCACAGTGCTATAGAGAAAGGAAGGAAGCCACTCCCCCTGAAGAAGATGGAAGCCAGTTTGCTGAAAGATGGGAAGTAGTTAGCCCTCAGACGAGCGAAACCATTTGCCAGCGCAGCAACTGATACGCACTATAACGTTAACAAAAGGTGTGTCCCAGCTGCATTGCACAGTTCGGAGACTTATCTTGCTCCAATTTCATTTGGACTCCGCCAACTTTCGGCGCCAATGTAGCAACCATAAATATTAGAGTCACATTATTTGAATCGAACCTGATCCATCGTGTTCATTATCATATTGTGAACCGACTTTCGTTCGACATCAAAATACTTTTGGGTGGACATATGGATGTCACCGTCGATGAACTTGAAAGAATATGTAATGCTGTTCAGTTGTATATTTGTGGCAGTAACAGATTTTGTATATTTTAACATGTTGTAAATTGATTAGAATTCATGTAAATAAATGCTTCAAATTTCATTGCACAGCTTTAGTCATTTTATTTTATCTTGATACTTAGCCTGCCTTAACTAACTATCACCCACAGCCAGTTCACTGAGCATGCTTACCGCATGTTCACCACACAGCACAATAACATAAACCCTTCCCCACCTACGTTCTTTTGTCTTTATAGCCAGCTTGGGCAATCAGCTAAGCTTTACACTTTTACACATTACAAGGTTTGTGGTCACTCCACATTCAATCTTCAGTGTGTCAACATGTCCTGTTCATTTTCTGGACATACCTTTGGATCACATCTTTGGATCATATTCTAAGGTAATTTGGATATCTTATCTATTTATTGTTCATGTATATCATTTGTAGATATAACTTGTAAACTGAGGGGCAAAAGAAACGTCCCCAAAGTAAAATTGTAAAAAACATTTCTTCTGTTTTCGTTATGACGGAAATTTATTTAGGAACACGTCTCCCGAACGCATCCCCACGTCTCACCGAAAGGAAATCCACGTGGAGTTTTTTGTAAGCATGAAAATTGCTTTTATTCACGTTTTTTGCATGCTTCTGTGGAAACATACCCGTATGAAAGTACAGTATAAAAATGATGCTCGACTGTTCGAATTCATCACTTCAATACGTTGGACACAAAGAACATGCCTCGACTCACGGCAGAACAGAGAGAACGAGCTATTGGGATGTTGCAGCTGGGTGCTTCTCACAGTCACGTTGCAAGAATCATGGGTTGCAGCAAGAAAACCATCACCAGACTGATGACACGCTTCAGAACAACAGGTCGGACTGCAGACAGGCCTAGGACAGGAGACCACCCGTAACCACCCCTCAGGAAGACCGCCATTTACGGGTGCTTCACTTGCGCAACAGATTCCTGACTGTGACGTCATCAGCAACAACCAGCCTTACCCATCCAGTCAGTAGAAGGACCATATCCAGACGACTCCGCCGATTCGGTATCAGAGCCTACAGACCATTCCGGGGCGTGACGTTAACGCGTGAACATCGACGTCGTCGATTGGCTTGGGCACGTAGAGTTCGGCAGTGGCAGCCGCGGAACTGGCGCCGGGTACTCTTCAGTGACGAGAGCCGCTTCCAGTTGAACAAAGCTGATGGTCGGGTACGAGTCTACAGATCGTCGGAACGAACGCACAGCACGTTGTTGCGTTCAGGAAGTTGAGACGTTTGGCGGCGGTAGTGTGATGGTGTGGGGAATTTGTGGCGAGAGGAAGACTGACTTGTTGGTGATAGAGGGAAACCTGAATGCCCGTCGATACATTGATGTTGTTTTACGACCTGTCGTGTTACCCTTCCTCCAGCAGAATCGAGGCGTGTTGTTGCAGCAGGATAACGCTACTCCCCACACTGCTGTTGTTACCCGGAACTTCCTGAACAACAACAACGTAAACGTCATTCCTTGGCCAGCAAGATCCCCCGATTTATCACCTATTGAGCACCTATGGGATCATCTCGGCCGTCAGGTGAAGCAACGTCAACATCCCCCACAGACAAGAAACGCTTTGGCTCAAGCTCTACAGGAAGAATGGCGTCGCATCCAACATCACGTGATCAGACGTCTTGTGCACTCTGCACGACGTCGTGTGGCAGCATGTATCGCTGCAAGAGGTGGACACACTCGCTACTGAGGAGTTTGACACTCAAAGACACTCTGTCAGTACTGATGTGCATGTGTTGTCATGATCGACAACCGGACATTTGAACCTCCTGTGAAAAACGTCACAAAAACTCTACTTACAGCAAATTGTTTCAATTGTTCTGTAATGACAGTCTGCATAATATGTTCAAAAATTATATCAAACATTTCAACATTGAATTGCACGTGTTTGTATCATTTTATGATACAAAAATGATCGGGGACGTTTCTTTTGCCCCTCAGTTTAGTTGTATCAGTGTGTGTTAGTCTTAAATTAGTACTGTGAAGTTGGTGATAAATACTCTACATTCATTATAATGTAATATTAGTAACATGATTATTAAAAGGCAAGGTTAACCACGTGAGCATGAGATGAATGGATGAACACAAGTATAGCTTTGTAATCATAAATGGGTGAATGAAAATAAGCACGAATGAATGAATGAATGAATGGTCTTATTTTGCATTGTTTTATATCTTGCTCAGCTACAGCCAAGTTTGTGTTTGATTACTGTATCAGTGCTGAGAATGCTTTTGTATATGTTCATCATTAGCATGTCTGTATATATTATTGTTATTTTCTCTACAGGCAAACATTTAATACAGATACAGCAGCGTCCCCAGGTGTGAAATAAACCTAGGCCCACACACCTGGTAGGTTTATATGTTGTATATATGTCATGTATATCAAATGAAATACATTTTGTACACAGTAATTGTTTACTGAAGCAACTATTTTGTAATGTTATGACATATGTACGAATTATATGTGTATATCTGTGTTTGGATATGTGTATATTGCTGCATTTATTATATTGTACACCTGATTGTTTCAGGGTTGTCGGTTTCACCTATACCATATCTCCAATAAATCATCGGCCATTGAAGAACAACAAAAGTAGCGTCTGTTGTCTGTGCGTGACTGACGCAGTCCTGCTACATATTGATCAAGTTCAGGTTCTACCTTACATAGTTCAATCATAATGTGTTATTATTGTTTACCGATTACAAAATACGGATGCAGTAAAGTGGTTTGGGCTCACCCCGGCACAGTTCGGCTGGTACTGTTCATCACCAGCCAGTGTCCTCACCCCGATACAGTTAGGCTGGTATTGTTCATCACCAGCCAGTGTCCTCACCGCGGCACAGTTAGGCTGGTATTGTTCATCACCAGCCAGTGTCCTCACCCCGATACAGTTAGGCTGGTATTGTTCATCACCAGCCAGTGTCCTCACCGCGGCACAGTTAGGCTGGTATTGTTCATCACCAGCCAGTGTCCTCACCCCGGTACAGTTCGGCTGGTATTGTTCATCACCAGCCAGTGTCCTCGCCCCGGTACAGTTAGGCTGGTATTGTTCATCACCATCCGTGACGCCTGGACCACTCCATGACGCCCGATACAGGCCTAGGGTTATACCATACCAGGACCAGTCCATGACGCCCAATAGTCCTACTGTTTCACTATTCACGCCAACTTGATCCAAGCCGCACGTCCTACTGTTTCACTATTCACGCCAACTTGATCCAAGCCGCATGTATTACTGTTTCACTATTCACACCAACTTCATCCAAGCCGTAGATCCTACTGTTTCACTCTTCACACCAACTTGATCCAAGCCACACGTATTACTGTTTCACTATTCACATCAACTTCATCCAAGCCACATGTCCTACTGTTTCACTATTCACACCAACTTCATCCAAGCCGCAGATCCTACTGTTTCACTATTCACACCAACTTGATCCAAGCCACACGTATTACTGTTTCACTATTCACACCAACTTCATCCAAGCCACATGTCCTACTGTTTCACTATTCACACCAACTTCATCCAAGCCGCAGATCCTACTGTTTCACTATTCACACCAACTTGATCCAAGCCACACGTATTACTGTTTCACTATTCACACCAACTTCATCCAAGCCACATGTCCTACTGTTTCATTATTCACACCAACTTCATCCAAGTCGCACGTATTACTGTTTCACTATTCACACCAACTTGATCCAAGCCGCAGATCCTACTATTTCACTCTTCACACTAACTTGATTAAAGCCGCACGTCCTACTGTTTCATTATTCACACCAACTTGATTCAAGCCGCACGTATTACTGTTTCACTATTCACACCAACTTGATCCAAGCCGCACGTATTACTGTTTCACTATTCACGCTAACTTCATCCAAGCCGCACGTCCTACTGTTTCACTATTCACACCAACATGATCCAAGTCGCATGTATTACTGTTTCACTATTCACACCAACTTCATCCAAGCCGTAGATCCTACTGTTTCACTATTCACACCAACTTCATCCAAGCCACACGTATTACTGTTTCACTATTCACACCAACTTGATCTAAGCCACATGTCCTACTGTTTCACTATTCACACCAACTTCATCCAAGCCGCAGATCCTACTGTTTCACTTTTCACACCAACTTGATCCAAGCCACACGTATTACTGTTTCACTATTCACACCAACTTCATCCAAGCCACATGTCCTACTGTTTCACTATTCACACCAACTTCATCCAAGCCACATGTCCTACTGTTTCACTATTCACACCAACTTGATCCAAGCCGCAGATCCTACTGTTTCACTATTCACACCAACTTGATCCAAGCCACACGTATTACTGTTTCACTATTCACACCAACTTCATCCAAGCCACATGTCCTACTGTTTCACTATTCACACCAACTTCATCCAAGCCACATGTCCTACTGTTTCACTATTCACACCAACTTCATCCAAGCCGCAGATCCTACTGTTTCACTATTCACACCAACTTGATCCAAGCCACACGTATTACTGTTTCACTATTCACACCAACTTCATCCAAGCCACATGTCCTACTGTTTCATTATTCACACCAACTTCATCCAAGTCGCACGTATTACTGTTTCACTATTCACACCAACTTGATCCAAGCCGCAGATCCTACTATTTCACTATTCACACTAACTTGATTAAAGCCGCACGTCCTACTGTTTCATTATTCACACCAACTTGAGTTCAAGCCGCACACTCCGTACTGTTTCACTATTCACACCAACTTGATCCAAGCCGCACGTATTACTGTTTCACTATTCACGCTAACTTCATCCAAGCCGCACGTCCTACTGTTTCACTATTCACACCAACTTGATCCAAGTCGCATGTATTACTGTTTCACTATTCACACCAACTTCATCCAAGCCGTAGTTCCTACTGTTTCACTATTCACACCAACTTCATCCAAGCCACACGTATTACTGTTTCACTATTCACACCAACTTGATCTAAGCCACATGTCCTACTGTTTCACTATTCACACCAACTTCATCCAAGCCGCAGATCCTACTGTTTCACTTTTCACACCAACTTGATCCAAGCCACACGTATTACTGTTTCACTATTCACACCAACTTCATCCAAGCCACATGTCCTACTGTTTCACTATTCACACCAACTTCATCCAAGCCGCAGATCCTACTGTTTCACTATTCACACCAACTTCATCCAAGCCGCAGATCCTACTGTTTCACTATTCACACCAACTTGATCCAAGCCACACGTATTACTGTTTCACTATTCACACCAACTTCATCCAAGCCACATGTCCTACTGTTTCACTATTCACACCAACTTCATCCAAGCCGCAGATCCTACCGTTTCACTATTTACACCAACTTCATCCAAGCCACACGTATTACTGTTTCACTATTCACACCAACTTGATCCAAGCCGCACGTATTACTGTTTCACTATTCACACCAACTTCATCCAAGCCGCACGTATTACTGTTTCACTATTCACGCCAACTTCATCCAAGCCACACGTATTACTGTTTCACTATTCACACCAACTTCATCCAAGCCGCACGTATTACTGTTTCACTATTCACACCAACTTCATCCAAGCCGCAGATCCTACTGTTTCACTATTCACACCAACTTGATCCAAGCCACACGTCCTACTGTTTCACTATTCACACCAACTTGATCCAAGCCGCACGTATTACTGTTTCACTATTCACACCAACTTCATCCAAGCCGCAGATCCTACTGTTTCACTATTCACACCAACTTGATCCAAGCCGCACGTCCTACTGTTTCACTATTCACACC